CACAACTCACAGCAGATTTGAGAAAACAAGCTCAAATTTTCTTTGAAAAGAGATCGATGGATCAACTTAAACAAAATTCTGGAAGGTGGAAGGATAGATTCAATGATATTACATCATCATTATCAACTGATAATAATAGTGAAAATATTAATACAACCAGAAGTTTTGAAGCTACTGATACTACTACTAATAATAATAACTCAACAAGAAGCAATGAAAATAGTTTAAAGAGAAAGGAAACACAAGATGTTAATCTATTCGGAGGTATGAAAAAGAAACGAAAACAATAAAGTTTATTGTTATCTTCCAACTGCCAGATGTCATCAGGCAAGGATAAAAAAAAATGCAAAAACGAGTAATTTCTGTTGTTGTGGTTTCAATTTTAATAATAGGAGCAATTTTTCTCTATTATTCTAATCTTTCTCGGAATCATAAACAAGCCAATAATAACGTTGTCATTTCAACTACTGTGGCTAACCTTTGAAATGCAAGTTTTTATTTTAAGAAGAGCAAGTAAGTATTTATAGATTGGCAAGTTTCTGCTAATGAAAGGCAACCAGAATCTAATTTTAGTTTTCTTAGAAATTTGAAAATCACACACCAACCCTGTGAAATATCTGTCAAGTAACACCTCTCAATAAACCTATTAAAAATTCAAAATATTTAAAGAAAACAATCTATCATCACTGAGACCTCGGAAAACAATTATTCGCCCAAGATTTATTCCAACTAATAAATTCTCAATTCCCCATTTCAGAATTACACATATTGCTTTTCTTACAATAATGTCTTTAAATTTGTTGCCAGATGTTATTATTTTATGATGATACTTAATGGTAATAAGTGATGGTGTACAATCAAATCTATTTTAAGAATTGCCAATTCATCATACTTGCCATTCTATAATTATATTCTTGCTCTTCTTAAAATAAAAACTTGCATTTCATACCTCATCGACAGTAAGGTCAGAGAACAAACATCTTCACAACAAGAACCAAAAGTCATTGAAAAGATTATTGAAAAGACAATAGAAATACCAGTAGAAAAGATAGTTGAAAAGATAATAGAAAAACCGTGTGCAACAAGTCAATCCAACGATAATAACTTGTCCAAATTTTCAGAATTTTTAAAAAATGATCAATTAAAAGCAATTGAATTGACTAAACAAATTGCTAGTGGAAATGTTAAAAATCCAGCAGTTCATTTAGTAACTCAATTATTTGGAAATATGGAAAATGATCATTATGTGGATATGTTGGCAGCAATTCAATTAAATCTTTTCAATCCATTTGTTGAAAAAGTTCACCTCCTTCAAGAGAATGATGCAAACGATCAAGATTTAAAGAAATTAATTGGACAAGAAAAACTTGTCATTCACATGCTAGGTCATCGTATTACAGTTGGTGATTTTATGAGATATTGTAATGAAAAATTACCACAAAAAATTGTAGGACTCATTAATACTGATGTTTATTTTGATAATACCCTGGTTGAGTTACATAGAATGCCACATCAAACTGCATATGTTATTTCAAGAAAGGAAACTCTAGTTGGTAATAAGCCAGATCCAATTAATAATAGAGATCAATGTGGTGGTTATCAAGGTTCACATGATGCTTTCATTTTCAGGAATAAGGATAAATTTGGAGATTCAATCATTGACAAGTTGAATAATATTAATTTGGGATATATGGGTACTGAAAATGTTATTTT